GGTTAAAAAAAATAAGTACGAGTGTTTCCTCAGAAAATACTGTACTGTACTTGTATGTATTGTTTACTTGAGAATACAACAGAGAATAAACTGCCCAAATACCCTTAAACAAAGGAAAAGTACGTCCTTTATGAAGGCATAGAGCCTTTACTACATGAAAATGAAAATTAATGAATATACTGTGTACAGTAATTTACTTGATAAGACAGATCTCAGAAAAATACTCTATGAGGCATATAGCTGTCTATAATGAAAATTAATTAACTAAGGATTTTTTTGCCCTGCCAGGATGTGACCGAGTTATCCAGACTGCCGGGTTATTGAGTGCCGAGTTTTCGAGACTCTACTGTGTAATATATATTATTATATAATTATATTTCCTTCATAACTTTTATTAAATTCCTTAATATAGACTTTAGAATATAATAATAAATATCTAGACTTAATAATTTTATTCATGATTAACCATAAATATAATAGAATAACCGTGTTAGCCTGCTGCACCCAGCAAGTAAACATATATACTATACTCCAGTAAACTGAATATCCATAATTCTGAGAATGCTGTCTCTAAAATATATGAAAATTTAATATACACAAAGATACTTATTTTGTTTTTGTACATTTGAAACTTCTTAAATTTTTATGTTTATAAAATTTTAATGTAAAGAACTACAAGTTGTCACACACAATTTTAAATTTAATAGCTCTTACAATTATATGTTCTAAAAATTATGAGGTCTGAAGATGATTCAAGCAGCTTCAAAATGTTATCAGTAAATGGATATCCAGTTTAGTTTTAATTCTTCTTAGGGCACTGGATGTTTTTAGTAGAATGTATATGTTATGTTTATCCTATGTCATGTTCATGTCTATCATGTCTATCTTCTGCATCAAATTGTCTCTGGGTGTGAATCCTTACTTCCTAAAATAGATTTGCCCTAGGAAGGCACTTACTAATCTGATTAAATTCAAAGACTGTATAGAGAAAGTGAATAATAATAGGTTAATGGAAGCTAACAGAGTTGTTACTAT